GAGCACAAAGACATGAAATGGCAAGCAGCCCACTGCATACTCCCAGTGCAGGCGCAGTATCACAGAGAGGGGCAGAGAAACCAACTATACTGCTCCAGGAAAACCTGCCCATGGAAAGCAGAAACAACTGACCACCTCCTGTGGTAGTGTCCGTTAGTCAAAGGGGTGTGCAGGAAAGTGTTTATACAGTTCTCAAGATTGTGACGGGGTCCAAACCCTGACCAGAGAAGTGGTGCTCTTTGGGCACTTGTCCAAACAGAAGGGGCCCCTGATGAATTAAATCAATTCATTTCCTACTTTAGAAATGCCTGTGGAAGTCCAGGAACTTCCTCATATATGGGCACACAAACCTCTCAATAGAGGCCTGTGTCAGAATGGGACTAAGCAAGATGCAAGGGTACTACAGGAAAGTGCTGGAAGATGTTGGAGAGCTGGTGGGGATCATCTAAAGGAGGACTGGCACAGATTGTTCAAGGGCGTGACCTATGAAGAAAGTGATGACAATGATGACAATGATGGTGGTGGCGGCGATGAGGAGAGAGAAGAAAGTGACAATGGCAGTGATGACTGAAAGGACTGGGAAAGAAATAGACAGGGGTGGAGGAGAGGGACGGGGTAAGCTTAGGGTGTAGGGAAAAGTTGCGTGTCTTTGTGACTGGCAAGGGTGATGGCGATGGAAATGCAGGTGTGTGGACATGTGAGAGCGCAGGTGCTCAGTGCAGATATTGTGATGGGAAGATGTACGATGTAATGGCAATGATATGCTTTGGACTGTCAAGTGAGCCATAGCGGCCACAGGACAATTTTCGTAGAAGTACTGCAATATATATACAGGCATACCTTGGAGATATTGCAGGTTCGGTTCCAGACCACCGCAATAAAGCGAATATCACAATAAAGCGAGCCACACGAATTTTTTGGTTTCCCAGTGCATATAAAAGTTATGTTTACACTATACTGTAGTCTATTAAGTGTGCAACAGCATTATGTCTAAAAAAAC